TGTTGGTGGGAATGTAAATTGATACAGCCACTATGGAGAACAGTATGGAGGTTCCTCAAAAACTAAAAATAGAACTAACATATGACCCAGCAATCCCATTACTGGGCATATACCCTGAGAAAACCATAATTCAAAAAGAGTCATGTACCACAGTGTTCATTGCAGCTCTATTTACAATAGCCAGGACATGGAAGCAACATAAGTGTCCATCAACAGATGAATGGATAAAGAAGGTGTGGCACATATATACAATGGAATATTACTCAGTCATAAAAAGAAACGAAACTGAGTTATTTGTAGTGAGGCGGATGGACCAGAGTGAAGTAAGTCAGAAATATGCTAACACATATATATGAAAAAAAAAAAAGGTTCTGATCAACCTAGTGGCAGGACAGGAATAAAGATGCATGCGTAGAGAATGGACTTGAGGACATGGGGAGGAGGAAGGGTAAACTGGGACGAAGTGAGAGAGTAGCATTGACATATATACACTACCAAATGTAAAATAGATAGCTAGTGGGAAGCAGCCGTATCACACAGGGAGTTGAGTTTGGTTTTTTGTGACCACCTAGAGGGGTGGGATAGGGAGGTTGGGAGGGAGATGCAAGAGGGAGGGGATATGGGGATATATGTATACATATAGCTGATTCACTTTATTATACAGCAGAACCTAACACAATATTATAAAGCAATTTTACTCCAATAAAGAGGTTAAAAAAAGAAAATCTTGCCCCATTTTCCATACCTCTGTACTCTCAGTACCTAATATGGCACCCAATGCTGAAAAGATTGAGTAAGAAGGAAAGAAGAATGGGGTTTTTTGTGTGTGTGTGTGATCTTGTTTGCCAGAAATATATTCAAAAGGCAACATTTCCAAGAAGAACATGGGAGATGGCAAACATCTTTGGCAAATACTAATAACAACTTTACAAATCCTACTAATTTCCTTCTCCTTAGCCCAGCTCACTAGATCGATACTGGAATCTATTATTTTAGTGCTTTTCCACCTCTACTCTCCAGCCTCTATTTCCCCAGGGACTCTACAGTTCACTGGATTTTTTTTTTCTTTTTTAGCTTATTAAAGTCATACCACTGATTTCTCATTCTAAAATGTCCTTACAACAAAGTGATTGAGAGAATGGGTTCTGAACTGAGAAAGTTTAAGATGTGAATCTTGGTTTATTAGTGATTAGCTGTATAATGTAAGGAAAGTCATTTAATCCCTCTGAGCCTGACTTTCGTTATTTGAAAAATAAGTATAAAACTTGTATCTAGGTAAATAAAATATTACTTTCAAATTGCTTGTCACATTACCTTGCATATAGTTAGTGGTTAATAAATATTAGCTGTTTTATCCTTAGAGTGAAACTACATTCCAGTGACTAGACATCTTATGGGCCCTTAGGGAAAAAACACATGTTTATTGAGCATTTACTATGTGCTAAGCTATTTACAATCCACTGTCTCACTTCATCTTCAAAGCAACTCCAAATTAATTTATTAGAAATCCCTTTGAAACATGAGTCTACTGTGGCCCACAAAATTTATGTCTTGTACCTAAGTTACAGAGAGAGTGACTGGCAGAGTTGGGACAAGCAATAACCCTTTGCTAGAATCTGACCTCCACAGAAGCCTTGGGCTGTCCTTACTCAGTCTCCACACTGATTATGAGTAAACTCTAGCATAATGTTTTTTGTTAGAGATACCACTTCTCTGTTGCTTCTCCTGATGCCAAGATGGTATTTCATACGGCTGCTCAAACCAGGATTAGAGACTAAATGTCAATACAGAGCCCACAAAAGCCTAAACAAAAGTACATTCTGAAGGCCCATCTCTCCTTGGTACTCTGTCACTTTTCCATTTCTAGTAATCAATATGGAAATGTTTCTAGAAAAATGTAAATATTCCACCGAGTCTTGGACCAATGATTTGGCTTTAGTTATCTAAACTCATGGGATTAGAAGGCACCTTAGCATCCTACCCAGAATCTCCTGAAATGATTAAAGGCCGAACATCTGGAAAGGCTTGATTTTGTAGAAGGTTTCATTTCTTAGAAGATAAAGGACTAACATGGGGAGTTGACATTTTGGAATAATTTCTCACCAGCAAACAAGAATTGGTTGATAAAATTGAAATAATCAGAACCCTCAGAGGAAGATTTCAACTCTTCCAATCATCAGGGAAAACAAGGCTGGCCTAGACATACGGGAGACAGACCCCAAACATTCAGAACACAGGTCTGGAAAAGAAAGAGGGTGCAGAAAGTCTAGGGTGATTTCAATCATGCTGTGAGTTTTTAATGATTAATGATTCCAAGGTGGATCATGGAGGGGAGTAAGCTAGGGAGAAGAGCGAGGATGCATGGGAAGCTGTCTGAAGTGCTCAGCTTTCAAGATCATGAAGGTGGGATGGAAGGACATGTAACCACAGGATCAAGTAGCAGAACACTAGAGAGCTGCTTAGGGACTTAATAGGGCAAAGACCTAAGGGGATCACTCTTGCCTGGTTTATTTCTTCATCCCACTGTTAAGCAACATTGATTGAGTATCTGGCCTTGCCAGTCAATGAACAAAGACTTTCCCTCAAGTTGGAGCTCGAGCATTACATGCTTCAGTTCTTTCTGATTCCTTTGGATCCAGCCCATGCTTATCGTCTTCATTTTTGAGTCATGCATCTATGGTCTCCTTTCCTCTCTGATAGCAAGGCCACTTGAGTTGTTCTTTCCTGAATGAAGCCAATGTCTGTGCCAGTCAATGCACAATTGTCGTTTGTGACCTTCCTGAGGTTTCCTGTTTCCTCCTAATGCATTAGAAGAACAAATCAATAAAGTCTGTGTCCCAGTACCTTGGGTAACTGCCATGCTCGTGGTTACATCACTACCCAGGGAGACTGTGGAACACGGTGGGGTGCTTAACCCCAGGAGTGGGAGGACTGGATGGGACTCATCACAGCCTTACACAGAGACAGTGAAGTTGCTCCAGGCTCCCATGGAGGCACAAAGCCTCCCCACCACGTGGTGATTTGTATTCAGCGGCAGCGCCCTCCCTTGGCACTGGGTGGATGGGGCCCCAGGAGAGAACTAAGGAAGAAGGAAGGGGCTGTTGTCCTTGACAAGGAAACGATTGATGTCTCTGCTTTCTCACCCTCTTTAAATTGAGATGGGGACAAGATTAAAAGTTCAGGCAGGAAGCCAGCTGGTGACTTACAACACTGAACAACCAGCCTAGTGCCTGAAGAAACCTGTGGCCCATCTATCAGTAAATGAGCTGCCTGAATATTTAAGAATTTCTCCATTCTTGCCAGAATTTAGGCATTAGGACCTTATCATGGCTATAATAAAAATAATAATAATAAACCCTACTTATTAAACACCATATGCAACATTCTGTATTTTATGTACACTACCTCTTTAATTTCTCACAATGACAGTATAAAGTAGGTATTCTCATTTTATAGATGAAAACACGGAGGCTTGGAGAAGTTAAGATGCTTAATTGAGAGGACACAGTGAGCAAAGAGTAGAATCGGGATTCAAACCCAAGTCTGCCTGACTCCAAAACACTTGATATTCTATTGTATCACATTGGGTGATGCACGGTGACATAGTTGGTTTTTCTCAAGACACAGACACATTGAGGTACAGTCTGAAATGGGTGCAACTACCTCTTTAGTTAAGAGTTCTCTGGATATATGAAACTGCACTACCCCTTTTGTGGCTTGGGTGCAAGGATGATGGAGTATGTTCCCTCAGGCTCACAACGCTTCAGACTTCATCTGTGGGAGCCTTTTCAGTCCCCTGTCCTGCCTTTGGCTTTGCACCGTGGAGTGAGATGTCTGGGAGTTACCGGTGTTTTCGTAAAAAGAGCAAAGCCAAAAATGGGGCAGGGGATGGAATCAAGAAGAGATACTGACAAATGTGTCTGATGCTGACACCCACCTCTAGTACAAGTAGGGAAAGTGGAGTCAGGGTAAGTCAAGGTCAGGTATCAAATCGACAAGACTGGGTGTCATTTCCAGGATGAGAGGGTGAATATAATAAAAATAAATGGAAGGCAGATCTGAGATCAGAGTTGTCAAGATGAGACAGGTGGTGATGAGACAAGGGAAGGGAACTAGAAAGTAGCTAGTACTAGAAACATGATAACTTACATGAATAGTTTATGACCATGCAGGGCTTCTCTTTAGAAGGTCCCACACGCAGCTTTGAAAGCAAACCTCCACTCATCCTAAAGGTACAGTGCCTGAAACCTCATACCTGAGAATGCCATCTTCCCCTTTATGGACTGGCTGAGACTTATTTGGAAGGGGAGACACACCCAGTTAACTGAAACGCTTAGAACACTGTAGTGAAGAGTCAGGCATGAGATTGATCCCCATAAGAGCCAGTTAGGTTAGCTCTGTCTCAATGTCATATCTCTGCCTTCAGCCTCAGGCAGCTCTCTGGGGAATAAATGCCATTAATCAGCAGGGGCACCAGGCAAGTTCATGCGGACTGTGCAACAAAAACCCATTCTTTCTCTTGGAAAAGATCTCAAAGCTCATGGTGGATCAGCAGCATGCTCCTTTTATGCGGACAGCACAGACTTTGGGGGTTTATCAAAGAGCATGACTATCTCATTCCTCTCCAAAGGGTTAGCAGACTTAAGATATAACATGATTATTTAACTGATACTTATTCAATTCATAATATATTTAATGATGGGTTGGTCTTTGCAGTCCTGTAATTAAATAACTTTGAGTTGCTCTTCTTACACTCAAGTACAAATAACTAGACATAAACACAGGCAGGTTATTCTACATTGCCCAATCAATCTCATTCTATTAAAAAAAAAAAGAAAGAAGGAAAGAATAAAGCTCTCTTTTCTGCGCTAACTCAAAGCATGCTTTGGCAAAAGTATAACCTCTGGGATCCCAGATGAACTTGCCTTCATTGAACCTGGAGAGACTACATCTGGGGCATTTTCACTGTCACCATGTCTTTCTTCTTTCCATTTGCTCACCCATGTTTAGTGAAGTGAGCTTCATCTGGTATTTTATGATTCGAGTGGGTAACTCTTCTGATTCTGAACAAAGGACCATACTTCATTCTGACAATTTGTCCCCTCCAGGCTTTCCTCATGAGTGGTTCCTTCCCAACCTCTTTGGAGAATGATGGCGAAAGTCTATTTATTCAGTACGCCTCATGGGTGAAGTCTCTTCCAACCTAGAAATAAAACAAATTTAACTTTTACAGAGTTACTAACGCCATGGAGAGATAAACAAGTGGGCTGGCTGCCTGCTGGCTGCAGGGATCGGCCCAACGATTTTCACAAAATAGCCCATTGTGATAAGAACTTAACCAACTAAAAATAATAATAATTTTCTCTTTGTTTTAGACATCCTTACTAAAAATAACGAAAGCTGAAATTGATCATACCCTGAGAATATGATGGCTGAAGGATTTTTGGTCATTTACCACATTTGAAATTGGGGAAAAACCTCCCAAGAGTAAGAACTCTAGTGAAAGTTCTATATGCTCATTGAAGGTTATTTAATTGAACATTTACCACATCCTTAATGGTATGTTTAAATTGTTAAACCAGAACATTTAAGGTGATATAAGAAAAAATAAAAAACTATCCCTATCCTTTAATATAATTCATTAATGGAACCAATCATGTTTTTATTTTTTAATATTTCATAGATGTTAAAATGTAATTATCACTATAATTGCGTAGAAAATGGAAGGCAAGGCAGAGTGAAATGAAAAGCACATCTGGAATCAGATAGATGTGGGTTGGAATTTTTGCTCTGGTCCTCACTAGCTGAATGACCTTGGGAAAGTTCTGCTGAAAAATGAAGATAATAACTACTTTATAAGGTTGTAAAAAATATATGATGCAAGTATCAACATTCAATAGAGTGCTCAAAAACGCAGTTCCCTTTCCCCTTCCTATCAAATAAAGTCTTATAATAATGCAGGGGAAGCAAAAGTTTAAATTTGGGGGATTCTGGAAGGGTTATGGGAAGAGGTAGCATTTTATTTGGGGAATGGGTAGATCCAAGAAATCAGATAAATTTCTTACAAAGAAAAAAATAAGACAATGGATAATTTGATGAGAAGAGTTTCCATGATCAGAGACAAATAGTGGTGAATCTCAATAGTAAGTTAGGAATTGAGGATACAGTTTTAGAAAGCAGTATGGCTTCAGCAAAGGCCAGGATGTTAGGTAACAACTGGTTGCATTTATGAAGAAGATATATGAAAAAAGGTAGAAGGAAGTGGCAGAAATAGGGAGAAGGGGGTAAAATAATACTTACTGTGTACCTCTTATGTGCCTGGTATTCTATCACCTACTACATACACCTTATCTCAATTAACGCTTACAACAACCCTGAGATATGAATAGTAACAGACTTAGTTTCAATTATGTGCTTAAGGTTGTACAGTTAGTAAAGGACAGACACAAATTCAGATCTAAGCCTATGTTGCTCTACATCCTATTCATTCACTCAGCCTTTCAGTAAAATAAATATACTGGATCTTATAATCATGTAAGCAAAAGATGATAGAAGACTGAAATGGGATTGTAACCCAAAAAGAAAAGGAGATGAATGGATGGACAAATAAATGCAAAGTCAGATGGAAGGATGGACATATGGGTAGAGAATGGATGAGTGGATGGTGGCTAGAAGTATTGTGGAGGTAATGTCAATATAGTGAAAGAACTGGAAAGAATAAGGCATTAAATATAACTCTTGGTTCCAGAACATCTAGTAAAATCTGACAGCATTAATGAAGACAAAACACAGGAAGAAAGAAAAGTTACTAAAAAAGGGGGAAACATTCAGTGCTGTGACTCGAAATAGAGCTTTATGGGAATTGTCTGCTAAACCATTGCTAAATGTGAATATTCTCATTAGATGCCCAGAGCTACACGGACAGATCAGCCACCTTGTCCCAGGAGTGGGTTTGCCTGCTGGGGATGGCCAGGCAGACTGATCCTCATTCTGCAAGGGATGCGGGAGTTCGGGGTGGGGACTTGAGTCAAGTCTGTGAGCATTTACTGCTCACATCTGGATTCTGATGGAAATGGTTAATCAGTGAAAAATTAGGAAAATAAATTTTTCAAATGTTTAGCAGGCAAAAAACAGGTTGTTTCTTTTTCCTTTTGAGCTCTGTGTTGGGGTCACTTGAGAACAGATCACTCACAAAACACACTGTCTGAGGATTCCACAGATGCCCTCTGCCTGGAAAATCCTCACCCATGCTTAACATCCGCTTTCAGTGTTAACTCTTCTGAAATGTTCTCATCTGTGTGGACTTGACTGAATCACTTAGCTAGACAAGAATGATGTGGCGGAATTTCCTTCCCTACATTGTTCCAAGTTACAGTGGGTCCTAAGTGTCATTTTTCATGAGTTTTGGATGGTTGAATTGAAGCAGAAGCCATATGCATTTTACACTCAGAAGGTCAACCAACTTAAGAGCACCAGGCACTATTGTTATTTATCTGCTGACTTACCTTGTTGTCATGGGGCAGCAGCCAAACCAGCAGCAACTCCAGTTCCCAATGAACCTTCTATCAGTTTTTCCAATTCCTGGGTCACGTGTAGGTTTAGCTCCAGGATGAAAGGCACCACTTCTCCTGCAAGACACATACATCACTGAAGCTGAAGAGTTGAAGGCAATGAGAGACTGACACAAGTCCCAGGTCAATGGGCTCCAGTTTGCCCTGCTCTCCTCCCCTTCACATCCATCTTCCTTCCCCAGTGTCCATCCTACTGGCTCTGGCCTCCAAACCCAGTCTCAAAGACCAGGGGTTGGCAAACTGTGGCCCACAGGACAAATCCGGCCCCTTTCTTGTTTATGCATATAAAGTTTTATTGGAACATAGCTATGCCTATTTGTTTATGAATTGTTAAGGGCTACTTCTGTGTTACACTGGCAGAGCTGAATAGTTGCTACAGAGACCATATATCTTGCAAAGCCTAAAGTATTTACTATCTGGCAGAAAAAGTTTCCCAAACCCTGGTACAGACAACAGCCATGTATAGACTGTTAAACCAACTCCCACAATCGTATAAGGCCAAATCTCTACGAATATAGGCATATGTATAATGCATATGTGTGTATGTCTGTAGAAATGTGTGCATATAGACATTTATTTATCAGCTGTTTTATTTCTAGGATCCAACCCTGATTATTACACAATCTCTACTTCCACTAGTATTTGTAAAGCAGGAAAACTGAACGCCTCCCTCTCCTGTGCGGCCACAGTATTTCGCTATTATAACACTCGCCATATTGTATTGTAATTGGTTTGTATCTCTATCCATGTAATCTTTCACTAAATAGTGAAATCGTAGAAGCCTTGTTTCAATAAAGAATAACTAAATGAATGAATAGGAAAATGAGTAAGCAAGTGAGCGAATGAATACGTGTAGAACAGAACAAATGGATGTTTCTCTTCCCCTGATTTGGCCTCTCTAGCTTCTGGAAATGCCCATGGTCACATACCAGCACACAGAGCCAGAGCCTGGCAGACCAATATTTGACTCTCAGTCTTGGTACTGGCCCAGGCTGCTCAGTGTGCTGGGCCACGGATATCCTTCCCAAGGCTGTGCTGTCTTCCATGGCCCATAACTTGACAGGGACACAATCCAGTTCTGGGCAGGCAATGCTCTGTTGGACAGTGGTGCCATTGGTGGCAGACAGCTCTGCAGTCACTGCAGTGATGATGGCCTTCTGCCAGGGCTGCGGTAGGAAAGCTGGCAGGTGCTGGGGAAGGGGGCACTGGCAGGTGGAAAGCACCTGACTGCTGCCAAGCATTTTCATGCTCAGGGCCTCCGTTGAACCTTATGATGGTGAAGGACATAGGGGAGGACTCCATGAGAACTGAGGTTCCTCTATGACCTTGGTCAAGTCACGTAATCTCTTTGTGTTTCAGTTTCTCACCTGCCAAGCTCTGAAGTGCTACGATTTTGTGATCAAGAACTCAGCATCATATTGATGGCTCTTGACCCCTACTTACACAGATTTTCTCTGCACCAAGTTGCCTCTTAAGAAGAGGCCTTTTCAGAGAAGAGCATGGGCAAGGGGTACATGATAAGTTGGGAACCCATACCAAAAGATATTGTTGTAAATAAAAATAAATGTAATTAGTACTTACTGAGCACTTATTTGCCAAAATCTCTAATAAGCATTTGAAATAAGTATTGGTTGCTACTGCCTTTATAAACTGAATTTCATATGTGTGTATTCATGCGTGCACATATGTGGTATGTTGTGCGTGTCTATACATGTGTCTAGATTCTCCACACGGAGCAAGAAAAATCAATTCAAATAAAGTGTTAATTTCTGACTACATTAAATCATACGTGCCATTTCTGCATATATGCATGAATGTCTCCATTATTAATTTTAATAGCAATAATAAAAATAACACTAATATTTGCTGAGTACCTACCATGTATCAGGCACATATATTTCATATATTTCAGTTAATCTTGTAACAACCTTTCATAGCGAGTATCATCCCAGTATTACTGTGGAAGAAACTCAGGATCAGAGAACCTAAGTGACTCGCCTGCGGTCACACAGCCAGGAAGTGACAGAGCCGAAATTCAAACTCAAGTCTAGCTGATTCCAAAGGCAATGCTATTTCTGCTGTGTTGAGCTGCCCCATTGCAGTGTGTCTGGAAGGAATCACGCTGTCTCACTGCTGCATGACCAAGCCCATATTCCTTGCTGCTAGTCTATGAGCATCATAGGTCTTTGTTAGCATCTCAGTAGGTAGATCTGGGGCTACAACCACAGCCAAACATTTCCAGATGATGTCTATTGCTTATAACACATGAGAAAGATCATTTACTGAGTCAGCATCTAAGCTGTGAGGGATGTAGGGATCGGTACCCACATTTTCCGGATATGGACCCTGAGCCCAGAGGAGAGAGCTGCTGGTCCAAGTTCACACATAGGTGGAGCTTAAACTAGTTCTCCTTTTCCATCAGGTCATCTTTTTATTTCACTGTAACTGCCTCCGATGCACTTCTGTCCTCCTCAGAAATTTTAACTGAGTGTGAGTGTAAGCATGTATCCATGTGAGCGCTTGTGCGTGTGCGTGTGCGTGTGTGTGCATCTCTGTGAAATTGAAAGAAAGAGATCACAGGACAGCGCTGGCAGGGAGGAGACCAAGTTGGGGAAGCATGGCAGAAAGACTAGTGTCTTTTTAAGGCAGAGAAAGCATTTTAAATGACAGGACCAGAGATCTTCCAGGATTTTAAATGACAGGACCAGGATCTTCCTGGTGCCTTTCCATCCTTGACTGGAGCAGAAGCAGACCTTTGAGGGCTTTTCCGAGGCTTTCTGCCACCGCTGTGCAAACCCTAGAATTGAGAAAAACCCCGAATGAATGCCCTGGTGCTTTGGAGGTTGCAAAGACAAAGCAATTGTGTCATTGGGAGCTGGAGCTGGGGCCGCCACTTCCTTTCCTTTCCCATGGGAAATGGGAGCGTCACCAGCTTTGAGCAGCCTCTGTGATCCTCCGTGTCTGTCTCTCTGCCCCTCTTCTAAATGCATTCAGAATCTAATGATTCTTCTCCTGCCATGAATTAAAGTCATCCCTCCACACACCCCCAGTCCAATCAGCAAGGATTTGTCAGTGTGAACCCTGCAAAGGGTAGGCAGAAAAAGCATCTGAAACAGGAAGATCCCAGGGTGCTCTAGAATCTCACCCTCCAATATAATAAATAACATGTGCGATGGGGCTGAGGGTGGGCAGGGAAAAGATGCATCATTCACTTTCATGGAGGTCACACTGCCCTTCTGTGCTCTTTTCAGAGAAAAGCTTTTTTTTTTTTTATACATGCATGCCTCACTCACTCACGCATGCACGCTCCCTGCAAGAAGCCGACAAAGCATTTTGGTCATCTATAGGCCACTCAGCTTCTTCAAAGTTGAGTAAGATTTTAAAAAGCCTGACATCTCCAATATTCCTCAGCAAAGGTTTATGTACCTGCACAGACAGATGAAAAAGGGGCTTGGGATGTATTAAAAAACATGTATGTATATGATGCATAGGAGAGAGAGAGAATATGATACAGATTATTGTCTCTCTGTCTTTTCCAAGTCTTTTTGTTTCAGGCCAGAGTGGTGGTGCATTGGAAGGGTTCTGGAATTTCAGAACACAAAGTAGCAGTTTTAAATAATGAGAGAAGATTCCACATGGAACGCTCATCTGGCTGTGGCAGCCTGTGACTGAGTGAGAGAAAAGTGCCCTAGAAGCTATTCATTACGAATTCACTGGAAGCTCTCAAACGAGGCTGGCAGAAGCTGAAATTGAAGTGGTCTCTGACCTAATTTTCTTCTGCATGAAACATCTGCATCAAGGCTCTCTTTGATGTATTCCACTTGGCTCTGTCTACGGGATTGTATCACATGGCCTCCGTGTTGCCTCCTTATTGAAAGACATTTCCAGCCTGTGCAAGGTAATGCGATGTTACTGTTACCCAAGCTAATCACTCAATGTGCTCCTAAAATAGAAACAATAGCAGTTCAGAGACAATGTTGTCTGCTGGCTGTTCTGCAGCCTGGGCTCCTGGTTTTCCAACTCAGATCTGTGGCGTTCGCCTACTGTGATTCCAAAACAAAGGAAAGGGAGATGACAGGTGAAGCCAAGCAAGATAATGTTGAAGGACCAGCAGCTTTCTGTGTGAGAAGCTCCATCTTATTTGGTCCTTAGAACCATTGGCTAGGATTCTGGCACCATTTAAAACCAGGGAGAGCAGTACTGAGAGGTGTCTGTCTGAAGAAAGGAAGGGTCTCTTGATGCGGGTGTTGGATTTTTTTCTAAAAGCAGATTGACATCCTCAACTCTGAGAGGAGAATGGGGTTGGGGGTGGGGGGAGATGTGTACTGAATGTTGAGTGTTTTGTGACTCTTTAGTGATCTATGAACTACTTTTAAAAATTGGCTTTTCTCCTCTTAAGCTTTCCCAACCTAGGTAGGATGCAGTAGCGCATTTTAAAAAGCAATAATGATAATAATCTTTTCTTAAAGCAACTGTAATGAGGCATCTTCTTTATCCTGGCAGAATAGCTCTTGCCTTTCTCCATAAAGGTTTGCTGCACAGACTTCGTTAATGGTGTGTGGCTGTTCCCCACCATCCCAGCATTATGTGAATAATGGTGGTGTCTTTTGTGGCCCACCCCCTGAAGAATAAACCTTTGAAATTCTAAATGACTGTGCTGCAGGTTTTAACGTCTGCTTCAGAGAAAGAATTGAGAAATGCGCACTCACCGAGCAAGATGCAGCATGCCTCAGAAAAGCCTTTCCGCCTGACTCCTCTGTCCCACATATTTAGATGAATATACATTCTTGAAAATGCCCTCGAGTTCTCTTGATGCCAGCAAAGAATGACAGATGTGACCAACAGCCTTTTTTGCCCAAATATTGATACCCCCGTGGACAAATATGTAGTCACTCCTTCCCCTTCTAGGACTTCCTAATCAAACAAAGCAATAGGAATGGAGCAACTGGGAGCTGGTGGCATCTCTGAGGTCAGGTGGTGATCTGGTCTTCCGATGGGGAAGGCACAGTGGAAAACAGTCGGCCACGTGGGTGCACATCAGTCTACCTGTTAATGAAATCTCTGCAGAGAGCCCAGAAAGACATTGGAGTTGAGGCAGCAAGGTAGACATCTTTAGTCAGCTTCAAGAATTAAAGCCAAATATATCTAGACAAAACTATAATTCAAAAAGATACATGCACCCCTATGTTCATAGCAGCACTATTCACAATAGCCGAGATATGGAAACAACATAAATGTCCAATAGCAGATGAATGGACAAAGAAGATGTGGTACATATATACAATGGAATACTACTCAGCCATAAAAAGGAATGAGATAATGCCATTTGTAGTAACATGGATGCAACTAGAGATTATCATACTAAGCGAAGTAAGCCAGAAAGAGAAAGACAAATAACATATGATATCACTTATATGTGGAATCTAAACTATGACACAAATGAACCTGTCTACAAAACAGAAACAGACTCATGGACATAGAGGACAGACTGGTGGTTGCCAAAGGGGAGGGGGTTGGGGGAGGGATGGACTGGGAGGTTGGGGTGAGCAGATGTAAGCTATTACATATAGAATGGATAAACAACAAGGTCCTACTGTATAGCACAGGGAACTATATTCAGTATCCTATGATAAACCATGATGGAAAAGAGTTTTTACAAAAGAATATATATATGTATAACTGAATCATTTTGCTCTACAGCAGAAGTTAACACAACATTGTAAATCAGCTACACTTCAATTTAAAAAAAGAGAGGGAAAAAAAAAGAATTAAAGCCCAGGTCCTCCCTCATTGCCCTCACTGCACTGAGGCCTTGCAAGTGTATGACTTGCCAAAGCACCTGTGTTCTTTTCCATCAAAGCACTCAGAGCTCTGTATTATCTGTTTTCTCTCCCAGGCTGTGACATCTTGAAGGCAGGCACTGTGTTTTTGGTTTTGTTTTTGAATTTTATTTTATTTATTTTTTATACAGCAGGTTCTTATTAGTTATCCATTTTATACATATTAGTGTATATATGGCACTGTGTTTTTATAGTCACAATGTCCACCCCAAGCCGACCACGATTGACCTGGGACTTTGCTGGTTTTAGCATGAAAAGTGCGGTGTCCTGGGAATCCCCTCATTCCTGGGCAAACCACTGGTTACACAGTACATGCTCAATAAAGGAGTTAGATGCATTAAGAAGAAAAATGGTGTAGCACCTTGATTTGGTGAATAGTAAAGTCTAGGACTCGCGTGGATTACCCTGATGACTACTGTTTATTACCCACAGTATCTCTCTGCCAGAAGGTGAAAATGTCAACCAAGCATGACTCTCCCAGTTGTTATTCTTACAAAGACATGAGTTGTTATAAGGCACAGGGCTGTGAGGGAGAAAGAGGATGAGGGAAAGTTTGAGAGGAAAAGAGGAAAGGGAAGGTGAAGACAAATCTCCAAATCGCTGGCACTCAGCCCTCAAGGAGATCCGAGGTCTAGCATGACTTGCGAGGCCCTGTGTGATCTGGTCCAGCCTTCCACTCGAATTTCATCCCCAGTCATTCCTCATGCACCCATTCCCACCAGAAAGGCCTCACAAGCATCCTACCTGTTGGACTTGGAATGTTCTACCCCCCAGCCGCCCATGGGGTCTGAGTCGTCTCCATTCAGGCCCTTGTTCAGAGATCTTCCCTTCCTACCCCGTATGAATGAGCACTTCCTTGCCCATCTCTGTTTGTCCCCTAACGCTGCTTTAATCAGCTCCACAGCCCTCGCCACCACCAGACACATTACTGTATGTATTGATATCTGTTTATTGTCTGTCTGTTGTCCCTCAGATGGTGGCACTACCTAATAGAACTTTCTGCAGCATTCTATAACTGTGCCCTCCCGTACCTGGGCCCCTAGTCGTATGTAGCAACTAATACTTGACTTAAAACGCAAGTATTTGAGAACTTGAAATCTGCTAGTGAAAATGATGAACTGAATTTTTAATTTTTTAAACATGCATTAATTTAATTCAAATTCAAATAGCCACATATGGCTAGTGACTATCATTTTGGACAGTGAGTTACCAGAAAAGTCTTTGAGAGCATGAATTTTGTTCTATTTTGTTTCCTTTCAGATTTCCCAGTTCCCAGAGCAATGCCAGCCACATAAAAGGACTTCAATAAGTATTTTTTTTAATAAATTATTAAATCTGGGTATGAAACAGGCATCTCTGATCAGGAAACAACCTAACCAGTGAGGTTAATTCTAAGTTTGAATTATCCCAGGTCAAGATTCAAAATGACAACATGCCCGAGACGACCCTTCAGAGGCAGAAGTTGTCAAAGGGACTTTCTCTGGACTAATCATGTCACTGCCCTGCACCTCAGTTTCCTTATCTGTTCAATGGAGTATTGTATTTGCTTCTTAGTATTTAAAGGAACTGTCACTGAATAGATGCCTGAGTTCTCTGGTGATGCGAAAAGCCTATGTGTAAATATATGTGTATGTATGTAGCAAAGCACTTTGAAGAATGCTAATCTGTGATGTTCTTTCCAGTGATTACTATTTTGGAGGAGGGGGATGATTTATTTTCATTACAAAACGTGTCTTTGCTTAACAAAAGACTCCACAACAGAATTGACTTAAAATAACTAACTCCTTGATGCTTTTTAAATAAGATTATATCCTGAAAAATCCAGGGGCCATGAAATTTATCACACAAAACAAGGTTTACCTGTACTTTCGAGGATGCATTAGGATATTCCTTTGACTTGGTCACATCCTTATAACACCTTTTTTTTTTTTCTAGGACTTTGCTTTGATTGTTAGTTGTTGCAATCTTGGAAGAGTCTAGCATTCATTCCTTCTACTGGTTCGAGAAGTATTTATTAAATTCCAAATGTGCCAACCACTCTTCTTGACACTGGGAATACAGTTTCATAAAACGAAAAGTTGAATAAGATAATACATGGGAAGCTTTTGAAATAGTACCTGACACACACTAAACATTCCATAAATATTAATCGTTGTTGTTGCTGTCTTTACATTGGAACTTAGAGTCCAGTGGGAGAAAGAGACAAGAAACAAACATGTATGATCAGAATTCTTTTCAATGCAAAGTGCAATGGCAAATATAAAACAGGGTATAACCTGTTACTTTAGGGACAGCACCTGAGGCTCGACCCAAAGTGTTCCAGTGTCCAGCCATTAGGTAGTAGGATTTCTCATCTCAACTATAGAGGTAATAAGATCCTGCTTCTGGAATATTGTTGAGTTTGCCTCAAGTGGATTATGAAAAGTGTGGTCAGACCGCTTAAAAGGACAGAGAGCTATGATTTCATTTTGTTAGATGAACTTCTTTTTGCCTGCTGGCCAATAAATGATGTTTAGTAAATGTCTACAGACATGCCGCGCCCCCAATTAAAAACTCCAGCAGAATGAAGTGATAAAGAATTTCTGGGACAGGAGTCTCTTCACATTAGTTAGTCAATGGAGCTGCTGCTGGGAGGAGATATTCTGTGAATGACAAGGATGAACCCGATCCAAAGATCTGGGGGCACAGAGTTAATGCCATTTAGTAGACATTCACTGGGAACCTGCTTGGAGCCAATATAAGAGTGAAGGCAATGGAAAGGCAAGAAGGAGGATAAGGGAAGCGTCTCCCTTCAAGGACTTCAGTTTGTAGGGAGGCTGCAGTGTTTCCAGTGAAGCTGAGGATGGTGAAGGCTGATGGAGCAAACCTAAAAGACCTGACCTGGAATGGACACGGGATCTCACTTCACCTCCCTCAGCTGCCTCCTCTTTTTCATCCTGCTGCCCCTCCCCCCTCCCCGTCCCCCTCCCCTCCCCCGTCCAACACCACCCGCATTCACCCGAGCCTCCCCAAGGACAATAGGGAAGCAGCCCTTGATGAGGCTGGGGGGAATCTCCTGTCTGCCTCCCAAGCCACATTTGCCTGGCTATGACTTTGCTCGATGGAAAATAAATCACAGCCGCTCCGTTCCCGGTCACTGTCCCCAGGGAGCTGAGACCTCCTCACCTCCTCCCTTGGAGCCTGCCTGCAACATGGGATTGTCAGGTACAAAGAGAAAAACCTTCAGAGACCCACACCCCATTTGGAGAGCGAAGAGGGTCAGTGGGAAGAATTGCTAGCAGTTGAATGTGAGTGGTTGGAGAGGGATTGGAAGGAAAAGGTTTCAGAAGGAGAAGAAAGAAAATCGGGGAAAAAAGCCCTTACTCCCCAGCCCCGCCTCCAACCTCCATAGTCTGTGGACAGAGAACCGCATGGTGGTCCGGGTCCTTGTAGAACATGTGTGTGCCGGACAATAGCACAGCCTGGCTTCGGATCATCAGCTGTTGTTTTCTGGTTAGCTCCCCCTTTATGTGAGTGTACAATGCAAGCCTTCAGTCACGGTGACTCTTGAGGAATACATCTGGTTTTTTCTTTCAGATGCTCTGAAAAGGTCAGCCTGTTCGTTTCTTAGACGCGAGACACCACATCTTTTTTTTCTCCCTCTGAACTGGAAAGACAGACCTACACCTTTTCTTGCCTCCTGGTACATAATTAGACATGGTGCACTTCTAGAAACCAGCCAGCCAGCCAGCGCATCCTCTGCACTCTCTCAGAAACGCACAGCCCAAACTTCCTCGCTCCCAAACTCCCAGGCTACTCACAAAGCTCTGGAGGGTCCTCCTTCCCCAGCCCCACACCCTGGGGTTCTCTGCTTGCTGTTTTGTTCATTATGACAAGGATCCCCCCCTCGCTCTGCTCCCTCGACACAGTCTACGACCGATGCTGTCTCTGGCAGAGGGAAGGTTTGAAAATTTCTGCCAAAAAAAAAAGTTTAATAATTTTCACTCGAGAGATGGTAAAGATTCTTCATGCGCGTTGTAACATCATAATAAATGTGCCCATGAGGAAAGCATGATCAGCAGCTGGTGTCTGACAAATTATCTCATTCCAGACAGGCAAACAGTCCACTGTGGGGAGAGACCAGAGCCTGAAGAGGCAACTTGGCACACGATTGGGGTTTCACCTCTCAGATGATGGAGGTCCAAATGGCCCACCGCGTCTGCGCCTGGGTCTGGGAGTTTTTCTCCGGCTCTTCTGTCCTCTCATCACCTTCCGGAGCTCCTGACAGCCATGGAAAAGGGGATTACTCTCTGGGCTCAGCCAGCCCATCTCTCGCCCCTCCTCCAGGGCACTCGTACTCCAACCATAAGAAGCAATCACAGTCTACCCTCCACCACGAGCCATGCTCTTTCATGTGTGGGGCGTGCTACTTCCTCATGTCATCACAGCCAGGTCCCACCTCACGCTCCTATTTCATGTTCGAAACCCATCTAGGCTCCCGCACACTCTGCTACAGTCAATCTCTCTTCTGGAAGCTAGGACCTTTGCCCAGGAATTTTAGGACACCATTATATGGTTATTCGTCTTCTAGGTACTTTTTGACAGCAGCTACCATGTGGTTTTTTGTTTTTTTTTAATAAGCCTGTTCAAGTTCTACATTTCTTTTTTTTTTTTTGACATCTTTATTGGAGTATAATTGCTTTACAATGATGTGTCAGTTTGTGCTTTATAACAAAGCGAATCAGCTATAAATATACATACATCCCCATATCCCCTCCCTCTTGCATCTCCTATCCCACCCCTCTAGGTGGTAACAAAGCACAGAGCTGATCTCCCTGTGCTATGCAGCTGCTTCCCACTAGCTATCTATTTTACATTTGATAGTGTATATATGTCCATGGCACTCTCTCACTTTGTCACAGCTTACCCTTCCCCCTCCCCATATCCTCAAGTCCATTCTCTAGTAGGTCTGTGTCTTTATTCCCGTCTTGCCCCTAGGTTCTTCATGATTTTTTTTTTTTAGATTCCATATATATGTGTTACCATACAGAATTTTTTTTTCTCTTTCTGACTTACTTCACTCTGTATGACAGACTCTAGGTCCATCCACCTCACTATAAATCACTCAATTTTGTTTCTTTTTATGGCTGAGTAATGTCCCATTGTATACAGGTGCCACATCTTCTTTATCCATTCATCTGTCGATGGGCACTTAGGTTGCTTCCACGTCCTGGCTATTGTAAATAGAGCTGCAGTGAACATTGTGGTACATGACTGTTTTTGAATTATGATTTTCTCAGGGTATATGCCCAGTAGTGAGATTGCTGGGTCATATGGTAGTTTCTATTTTTAGTTTTTTGAGGAACGTCCATACTGTTCTCCATAGTGGCTGTATCAATTTACATTCCAACCAACAGTGAAAGAGGGTTCCCTTTTCTCCACACCCTCTCCAGCATTTATTGCTTGTAGATTTTTTGATGATGGCCATTCTGACTGGTGTGAGGTGATGCCTCATTGCAGTTTTCATTTCCATTTCTTTAATAATTAGTGATGTTGAGCATCCTTTCATGTGTTTGTTGGCAATCTGTATATCTTCTTTGGAGAAATGTTTATTTAGGTCTTCTGGCCATTTTTGCTTTTTTTTTTTTTTTTGCGGTACGCGGGCCTCTCACTGTTGTGGCCTCTCCCATTGAGGAGCACAGGCTCCGGACACGCAGGCTCAGCGGCCATGGCTCATGGGCACAGCCGCTCCATGGCACGTGGGATCTTCCCAGACCGGGGCACGAATCCGTGTCCCCTGCATCAGCAGGCAGACTCTCAACCACTGCGCCACCAGGGAAGCCCTTCTGCCCATTTTTGGATTGGGTTGTTTGTTTTCTTGATATTGAGCTGCTTGTAAACTTTGGAGATTAATCCTTTGTCAGTTGCTTCATTTGCAAATATTTTGTTCCATTCTGAGGGTTGTCTTTTGGTCTTGTTTATGTTTGCCTTTGCTGTGCAAAAGCTTTTAAGTTTCATTAGGTCCCAATTGTTTATTTTTGTTTTTATTTCCATTTCTCTAGGAGGTGGGTCAAAAAGGATCTTGCTGTGATTTATGTCATGGAGTGTTCTGCCTATGCTTTCCTCTCAGAGTTTTAGAGTGTATGGCCTTACATTTAGGTCTCTAATCCATTTTGAGTTTATTTTTGTGTGTGGTGTTAGGGAGTGTTCTAATTTCATTCTTTTACATGTAGCTGACCTGTTTTCCCAGCACCACTTATTGAAGAGGCTATCTGTTCTCCACTGTGTATTCTTGCCTCCTTTATCAAAGATAAGGTGACCATATGTGCGTGGGTTTATCTCTGGGCTTTCTATCCTGTTCCATTGATCTATATTTCTGTTTTTGTGCCAGTACGATACTGTCTTGATTATTGTAGCTTTGTAGTATAGTCTGAAGTCTAGGAGCCTGATTCCTCCAGCTCCATTTTTCTTTCTCAAGATTGCTTTGGCTATTCTGGGTCTTTTGTGTTTCCATACAAATTGTGAAATTTTTTGTTCTAGTTCTGTGAAAAATGCCATTGGTAGTTGATAGGGATTGCATTGAATCTGTAGATTGCTTTGGGTAGTATAGTCATTTTCACAATATTGATTCTTCCAATGAAAGAAATGGCATATCCCTCCATCTGTCTGTATCACTTTTCATTTCTTTCATCAGTGTCTTATAGTTTTCTGCATACAGGTCTTTTTTCTCCTTAGTAGGTTTATTCCTAGGTATGTTATTCTTTTTGTTGCAATGATAAATGGAAGTGTTTCCTTAATTTCTCTTTCAGGTTTTTCATCATTAGTGTATAGGAATGCAGGAGATTTCTGTGCATTAATTTTGTATCTTGCTACTTTACCAAATTCATTGATTAGCTCTAGTAGTTTTATGGTGGCATTTTTAGGATTCTCTATGTATAGTGCCATGTCATCTGCAAAGAGTGACAGTTTTACTTCTTCTTTTCTGGTTTGGATTCCTTTTATTTCCTTTTCTTCTCTGATTGCTGGGGCTGAAACTTCCAAAACTATGTTGAATAATAGTGGAGAGAGTGGACAACCTTGTCTTGTTCCTGATCTTAGTGGAAATGGCTTCAGTTTTTCACCATTGAGAACGATGTTGGCTGTGGGTCTGTAATATATGGCCTTTATTATGTTGAGGTAAGTTCCCTCTATGCCTAATTTTTGGAGGGTTTTTATCATAAATAGATGTTGAATTTTTTCAAAAGCTTTTTCTGCATCTACTGAGATGATCATATGGTTTTTCTCCTTCAGTTTGTTAATATGGTGTATCACATTGATTGATTTGCATATACTGAAGAATCCTTGCATTCCTGGGATAAACCCCACTTGATCATGGTGTATGATCCTTTTAATGTGCTGCTGGATTCTGTTTGCTAGGATTTTGCTGAGGATTTTTGCATCTACGTTCATCAGCGATACTGGCCTGTAGTTTTCTTTTTTTGTGACATCTTTGTCTGGTTTTCGTATCACGGTGATGGTGACCTCGTAGAATGAGTTTGGGAATGTTCCTCCCTCTGCTATATTTTGGAAGAGTTTGAGAAGGATAGGTGTTAGCTGTTCTCTAAATGTTTGATAGAATTCACCTGTGAAGCCATCTGGTCCTGGGCTTTTGTTTGTTGGAAGATTTTTAGTCACAGTCTCAATTTCAGTACCTGTGATTGGTCTGTTTATATTTTTTATTTTTTCCTGGTTCAGACTCAGAAGGTTGAGCTTTTCTAAGAATTTGTCCATTTCTTCCAGGCTGTCCATTTTATTGGCATAGAGTTGTTTGTAGTAGTCTCTTATGATGCTTTGTATTTCTGCAGTGTCAGTTGTTACTTCTCCTTTTTCATTTCTAATTCTGTTGATTTGAGTCTTCTCCCTTTTTTTCTTGATGAGTCTGGCTAATGGTTTAACAATTTTCTTTATTTTCTCAAAGAACCAGCTTTTAGTTTTATTGATCTTTGTTACTATTTCTTTCATTTCTTTTTCATTTATTTCTGATCTGAACTTATGATTTTTTCCTTCTGCTAACTTTGGGGTTTTTTTGTTCTTCTTTCTCTAATTGTTTTAGGTGTAAGGTTAGGTTGTTTATTTGAGATTTTTCTTGTTTCCTGAGGTAGGATTGTTTTGTTATAAACTTCCCTCTTAGAACTGCTTTTGCTGCATCCCATAGGTTTTGGGTCATCGTGTCTTCATTGTCATTTGTTTCTAGTTATTTTTTTATTTCCTCAGTGATCTATTGGTTATTTAGTACTGTATTGTTTAGGCTCCATGTGTTTGTACTTTTACAGTTTTTTTCCTGTAACTGATATCTAGTCTCATAACGTTGTGTTCAGAAAAGATACTTGATACGATTTCAATTTTCTTAAATTTACCAAGGCTTGATTTGTGACCCAAGA